ACAAGAAATGCATAACAGACTTCTAGAATTGCTCAGAGGACTGGCCCAGTTTTCACTTAATTTTCCTTTTTGTTTCCACGTTATATTAGTATTTTAAAATTTTACTAAAGAAAAGAAAGAATTAAAAAAAAATACATTTAGACTTAATTAAATATATATATTATTCTCAATTTAAAAAAAACGCTTCGGTGGTCTCGTGGTAGCGTATTCACCTCGAATGCGGGAGATCCTGGGTTCGAACCCCTACCGGGTTAAACCTAAGACTTTAAAATTAGTATGTTCTGCTTCTCCGCTAAGCATGCGTCATTAAGGAGTAAGAGCAAAGACTGGTCGACTCGGAGTCAGAATAATGTGTCCGGGTAAGGTGACATGTCTTCCTGTAGGCTGTTACCTTGTGAACTAGCACGTTAAAATCCGGCTAAGCGGTGTATGTCTATTATAAAACAGGGTAAATATTCATATCACTGGACATTAAGCAGCCATCCATCATCATCATCAATCAAAAACAAAACAAGAAACAAATATGTTGCCTGTCTTAAGGAGCTCAATTTCACAAAGTGGCTATCTTTTAGATTAGCTGTCTGTTTCTTAAACCTTTGCCGTAAACATAATGATGAACCATTTTTTAGCAGATACTCCTTTGCAAACAATATATTTCATAACTTTTTCACAATTGCATTTATGATCAGCTTTATCATTCACCAAAATTAACGAAATACATATTTTCTGTGCTCATTAATGCTCAATATCATACAAACTATGGGCATGTAGAACAAAAGCAGGATAACAAACTGTATCAAAACAAAAAGTTTTTTTTCGCTCACCACTTAGACAACCAATAACTACAAAATACAATGAGCTTTATTATTTTATTGCTTATAAATTATTTTTCTAAAGTTTGACAATGGAATTGTGTAAACAAATCTGAACAATTGACGTTAATAAAGCATGACATTACACGTAGCGTGTGTTCTAGAATGGGAACCAGGAGTCCGTTTCACAAAACAACTTTGATCGTAAGTCATGAACAATTCAATATACTTACGATCAATCTTAGTCTAAGTTTTTTTGTGAAACCGACTCCAGTCGTGAATTTAAAAGTGACGTCACAGACGTAAACGTCACACTATTACTAACGTCAATCGAAATAACACAGTTAAATTTTTTAAACTATATATTGTTTTCGTCACCACAACTAATTTTGGTATATTTCATACAACACAAACGATGAATCTGTACTTCAAAGTAATCTTCAGGTTTTACTTATAATGGGCCAAAATATTGGCCCCATGGCATTTTTGAGAAGTTACAAAGGCCAAAATATTGGCCCTATAGCACAGACCTTGTTAAGCATCCTTTTTGATGACGTCACATGCAAAAACGTTAGATGTTCAAAATATAATGACAATGTTGCTTATATAACTACAGTTGTGTTTATTGTTGTTTTTAACATGTAGATATGCATACAAAGATTAAAAAGGACGACTCGACCAAAACGGTTGAAAGTGTAACTAATCATAGTTTATCAGTCGGGAAGCAGGTCCTTAAAACGACCGTTGTTGCTACTTTCTAAAGAAAACAATGGGACTGATATTAAAGCCCGCCATTCTAAAATTGCGTTAATTTCGCGGAAAATGAAATTGGCGGCAATTTGGAAAATGTTTCTGTTTTCTGTTTCTTACTTGCCGTTGGAGTCAGAAATTGATGTCTTTCTATCTTTTCAGCATGTGTCTTATTATTTAAGAAAATAATACCCAAATTGGCCGTCCTTTAACAAATACGTTGAAAATCATGCGAAATTGTCTGTTAGTTTTTTCCTCTGTCTTCACAGATAAACTAAGTTTATATATTATCTACAGGGGTAAAACAAATTAATACGTATGTCAAAGTTCAAAAAATATTTCAAGTCTAACGTTCTGTCACCCTATATGAAACCCCGTTTGAACTAAAAGAAAGACATTTTTTGACATTGTAGTGTTTTTGATCTTACACATCGATGTCAACATGAATGCGAACAGACTGTACACACATTTGGTGTCTTTGTTTGAAAAAGCAATGGCGATTTCCGCTGTGAAGTTGACTAGATTTATTATTCTCTTTAAGTGAAATGTTTGACGTTAACTGACACAATAAGGAAAGGAAATTTTATACTGTCTGTTGAATCAAGATTACTGGACAAAATCATCCATTGTTAATATTTTATCATTTTTTGTGATGAAGGACTCCTACAAAAGTAGATGCAAATATATCATGTACAATGGAAACATAAAAGTCTTGTTCTTTGAACTAAAAGCAATCTGTATAATACTTGCATTTAAATCACTGTTATTCACATCATTTTCATAATTACATGAAGTGTGACTTATTTGTGTTCCAGAGAAAATAATTATTGACTTAGCACTCAAAAACTGCACTGAAATAGGCCTAGTTATTTTTTTAAAATATAAGAAGAAAATTATGAGATCGAATCTTTCTCGTTATTATTTATTCGCAAGTTCATGATTAACCTTTTAAATTATTATCCATTAGTTTAGGCTTCTTTTTTAGTCCACTCAGTAGAACCTGTATGGAATGACTATGAAACACAATTTATTGTTTTATTTAGTTTAATTATTAAACATACACAGATTGCAAACCAATTTCCTTTTATTTCAAATTATGAAGAATTTACATTGAGAATACTTTGATTATTTTTTTTTTAATATATATAAAGAAGGGTATTGCAAGGGAATTCAACATTATAACCTTGTCTATTTCCAATATTTATGCATATTTTGGCTACCTCTGGCCTTTAGGGAGTAGAAATTTATTTCTGTGTTGGTATTATTCGGTTACAGCAGTCAAAATATATACCATAATATTAAAGTATCTCGTGGAATAATATTATTTTACAGTAAGGTAGAAAAAAAAACAAATAGATAAAATATGTAACATATTTTCCAACAGGATAACGCTAGATGTCAGGTGGCAAGGATTTGTATGAAGTATCTTGAACGTTAATTTTAAACGTTCTACGTGACACAGTAACAAAAATAAATTCCCAGATAATTACTGGACCAAATACGGACGGATCAAAGTCATATATCTACTGCATGAGAGCTAAACACAAACCGTGTAGCGTTTCCTGTGGATTTTGCCTTTCTCTAACACGTCTGCCAAATTGATCCCATAAATGTTCTTTATGAGAAAGATCCGGTGATTATGCTCGCCACGGGAGAACGCGAATAAGGTTTTGTTCAAGATACTTCATACAAATCCTTGCCACCTGATATCTAGCGTTATCCTGTTGGAAAATATGTTGAAACCGCGTTCAAGAAACCACCAACGATTTTAAACTGTTTGCGTCCGTTGTGAAATATCCCCCCCCCCCCCCCCCGCCCACCCATACCATCACACGATCCGTTTCCATGACACAAGGGTCCGATAAACGTTTACCTTGCCTACGGTATACGCTCATTCGTCCATCAAGAAAACGGAGAGCAAATCGGGACTCATCTGTAAACAGGATATGCTACCAGGTGTATAACCTCCAACGTCGTCTTGCACGAGCCCATTCAAGTTTTGCGGCCCTACGAAGCTGTTTAATGAGCGGCCCTTTCTGGGTACGTCTTGGACGCAGTCCAGGCGCTCTGAGTCTTCGACGAAATTCTGTTGATGTAACGACCAAGTATTCCTCGGGCCGTATTTTCCACATTCAATGTAGTTTGCGCAAGTGTATAAGATGTACCACGCGGTCTTAACGTTGCGACTTCTCATGGGGTCTATTGAAAAAAAGAAAAAAACAGATGCATTTTGGCGTTAAATACATATAATAGATGCACCCCAAAATTAACCAATCAAACGTATAGAAAGCCTTTGCTTCATACAAAATAAGCTAATATTTACCAATGAGAATCCCTTAACAGATTTATCCCATTATGACGTGCCACGTATGACTAATTAGACCGAGTCTCATGTGAATCGGTAATAAACTATTACAGAAACTTTAAATTGAAAAATATAAAAAATGTTTAAAAATTAACTTTGTATCGTTTCTTTTGTTGACTAGTATATATAACACGTGTAGTTATTCGTCCATCTATGAAATATTGGTTAACGCAAACTTTTGTTATGGTGTTAAGATTTTGTTAAACATTTAGTTGGTTAACGCAAAGTGTTGAAATTTATATAACACGATCGATCATAAACTATTACTACACTTGAATACGAATGTTAAAGGAAATTCTTGTTCTTAACTTTATATGTAAGTAAATTTGAGTATGGTTTTACATTGAGTTCTCTTTGTCATATAACTGATGAATGCATTGTTGATATTTTTGAAATTTGATATACAGATATGTATTTCTTAAATGAATTATGAACATGAACTATAATTGCACATATTTTACAATTCAAGAAAAGATGGATAACTGCTAATATCATTAAGATAAAATGATAGATGAATTACTGATTTTTTAATGTGTAATAGTAAAGAAAGTAAAGATAACCTATTGTTTTAATCAATAGAACATTTAGTTATTGTGATTTTTTTTCGACAAATTGGTTAACGCAAACTTTTGGTATGTTATTCATCTATTGATCAATTAGTTGGTTAACGCAAACTTTTGAAATGTTTTTCATCTATTGATCAATTTATTGGTTAACGCAAACGTACAAATTGTGTCACATGATCAGGTAACATTCGTACTTAACTTTTTCATTAAGGTAAAGGAAGATATTGTTTATAACTTTATTGTAAGTTAAATTTCAAGATACAGTAACTTTATAGTTAATCCAAGGAATGGTATATTTAGATAAGTCTAAAATAACAGATAAGTTCATTTTTTATAATTTAGAAAATTAATATAAAATGTATTTATATGTTAAACTATATTCATGGCGTGCATATCTTAAGCATTCAATTACAGCTGAATAACAGCTGAAATCTTAAAAATAATAAAACTGGTTATTTCTGTTTTCTTAATAATAATAATAACTTTATTCGTAAGCAATACCGCTCATAGAATGTTTACTTAGTAATTAGAATCGATAACATTAAAATTGATGAAAATTGTTGTTGTTGAAAGTTTTTACGTGATATTGGTTAACGCAAAGGCTAGTTATGCATGGGACATTCCCAATACTCATTCACTTATACATCGGGTCAGTAAAGCATTACATTTTTGTTATAATGTACGTAGAAGTTAACATCTATTGATTATGTGTTGATTAACGCAAACGGACACACTGTAAGTCACATAATCAAACAGTTTGACTTTAATTTTTCTTTAAAGTTAATGGGTCCGTTGTGACATATTCGACCCCATACCATCACACGATCCGTGTCCATGACACAAGGGTCCGATAAACGTTTACCTTGCCTACGGTATACGCTCATGCGTCGATCACGAAAACGGAGAGCAAATCGAGACTCATCTGTAAACAGGATATGCTACCTGATGTGTAACCTCCAACGTCGTCTTGCACGAGTTCATTCAAGTCTTGCGGCCTTATGAAGCTGTTTAGTAGAGATTTCCAATAAAATGACATACGTACCTAACTCGACGTACGCACGTAACGGGACCGGTTATTGCTAACCTATTAATTTTGTTAAATACGTCACTCAAGTTTTAACTAAGAATTCCTAAACTATTAAACCCATTCATGATAAATTTTATCAGTATCAAGTATTTCTAAGATGATGAAAAACAAAGAAATCATGATTTTGTATATATCACGTGATTATTGAGATTCCCGCCAAAACTTCACTGTCATAAGACCACGTATATGCACGTATCTTTACCTATCATACGATTGATTTGAGTTGTCTTTCATGGTTTTGACCATGATTTTGTTTTTCGATATACTTTGCAAATGAACCTTTTATCATTTAATATTTGACATGCTTTTATTTGTCGTTATCAGATTGGTGTCCCTTTTTCCTTTCGTCTCTTAATGTTTATTAATATTTAATTTCCGTGGGTATTTATTATTAGACAGAGATTTTTCTAGAAATTTCAGAAATATCGAATTCAAAGTGTTAGTCAGAATTTGTCTCTGTTAAAGTTGATAACTGGGATTGCATCATACTTTATTAAGCATCATTTCAAACGTTCACTTCTTCTGCAGTGTTAATCTTGTTTATTTACAATCTCCGATTTTTTTTCCCAGAGAAAATGTTCGACAAAGGAATGTGTATATTTAAAAAAAAATTAATACAGGTATTGTACTTCTTTCAATTTTAATTGTTGACATACACTTTTCTTTCAAATGAAAGTCAACTAACATTAAAAAAAAGATTTTTTAAATAAAAAATGATATATGTAAATAAATGTGTACACCAATTCGTTATATATTATAGATTGTAATTTGGAAGGTGTACTTGATTAGCAATGAATGACTAATCTGCATATAAACATTGACCGCTGTGGATAGTAAACTATCAATTTATAGTACATAGTAATTGGCTAAAAAAATGTCCTGTCCCCAAGTATCTCTGATTTAAAGTAATTTATATACTTGTTACATTTTTAAGACAACTATAATGCCACTTCAGTCTTTAGAGTAATTTTCTTTTTACAGTCGATTTCATTGAGTGTGTAGGAATAGGTATTATCTTTGGTTAGCTTGCTTGCTAGCTGAACCGTGAAGTCATTATTAGGTTAGAAACTACCCTCCTTTATGAGTAGACTAGTCCCACAGATAACCAATTCTATCTGTCTGTCGGACTAATCTACTCATAAAGGAGGGTAGTTTACCTAACCTAATAATGACTTCACGGTTCAACTAGCAAGCAAGCTAACCAAAGATTTTACCTTTTCCTACACACTCAATGAAATCGGCTGTAAAATGTACTTTTAATTAGTAAGGCTTGATATTGTCATAGTTGTTTTTGGATTAAGACAACTCTTACTAGTCCAATTAGAAGTGGATTCTTAAACTATAACATATTGATTGAGGTAAGCAAACATTTTTAGTTTCAATTTTTGTCTCGCCTTAGAGATATATATTTATAAATAAAGTTAAACTCTACGACATATCCATACATAGGATCACCAGTGAAGGTGATAATCGGCTGAACACACATTTTATATTCATAATTACTTTCAATATGTATATATGTGTAAACCAAGCTCTGTGAAGGAAGGTTTTTCCAGGTTGTTCTTATGTCGTGCTGTTGCACCACTGTCCGAGGCTTAGGGGGAGGGGTTGAGCACTCATTCTTTATGTGCCTGTCCCATGTCAGGAGCCTGTGATTCACTTGTTGTCGTTGGTTCATATCTGTTATATTTGTTTTTCGTAAATTATTTTGTTTTAAATCAGGCCGGTAGTTTTCTCAATTGAATTGTTTCATATTTTTCAAGTTGGTTCCTTTTATAGTCGACTATACGGTATGGATTTTTCTCATTGATGAAGGCCGTACGGTTGCCTATCATTGCTTACATCCACTTCATTTCTTATTGGCAATCATATCATATCTCCTTTTTTTTTAATTTAACTAAATACGTTTAATATTCTCAGGTAATTTAACATGTAAGAATCAGCTTTCAGTACCTGGGGGTACTTTAAGATCGGTACTCTGTGTCTTTCATCATAAAAATATAATTGTTTTGGGCTTAATTCAATATTGATTAGTTGAGCTATTTCCAACTGAATTTTACCGGTTTTATTTATTATATTGTGCTGTTACACCAGACTGTTGAACGCTGGCAAACGCGTTTAATCAGGCCAAATTCTATATTGGCTTTCCTAAGTCAGGAACTTTCAATTCAGTGGATGTCGAGAACTGATTGTAATTCAATGGTTATCGTTTGTTGCTGTGATTTCGTTCATTTTTTGTACATTAGTAAGGCCGTTAGTTTTATCGTTATAGTTGTTTTACATTTGTCATTTGTGGCCTCTTATAGATGACTATTCGGTATGGGTTTTACTCATTGTTGAAGGTCGTACGGTGGCCTATAGTTGTTAATTGCTGTGTCATTTGTGAAGAGTTGTCTCGTTGGCAATCATACTACATCTTTTTTGTACATATCACAAATTAAAAAAAAAAATACATAAACACTCTCGAAAAGCAAGACCTTGTGTCATGTCACAAGCACAGAGTGTCGGTAGGACCATTAGTGTTCATAACTGTATAGTAGATTATATGTAGTTTCTATAAAATGTAATGATAATTCATCAGTAAAAGATACATGATTATTTGTTAGTGGAATTACATATAACTTAATAAATGAATATTTATATTAAAAGAAACATCAGAAACAAGAATATGTGTCCATTAGATTACACGCCAGTATCACATTTCCGTGTTAAGTGAGCCCTAAATCCAGGGAAAAATCCAATTCAGTATGTAGCCTTAAACTTTTGAATCTAATATTGAGTCTAATATTCAAACATTGTTGTTTTTAAAACGTATTTATCAAAGTCAAACGACAAACATTTAATTTTTTTTTGTGCAATACAATTTGTGATTATGGCCGGATCGAAGATATTTGAAAAAAGGGCGTAGTTCCAGATAATTGAATTTATACTGCCGAGCGGAGCAACGCGAAAAAAAATTTGGACAATTTTATACTAAACATTTGTATAGATAACGTGGAAAACGTGAGATTTTCAAAATTATTTGGCGATCGAAAGGGGGGAGTACGCCCTCTCCCCCTGTATCTGCGAATGCACATTTAGGTATACATGGACAAAAACCTCGTCCCACGCATTATTATATTATTATAGTTAAAGACTAAGAAGTACTATTTGATAAATGTATCAATGATATGAATTTCTGCTCACGTCAAATTATCTTGAATTAAATTAAAGAAAAATGATTTTAAAAAAAATTAGTCGCGTACACCTTTTACATTCGGGTGTGTTGGAATCTACTTTTTAAGCGTTAAAACTTATAAAAACAAAAAAAGAGATAACCTTCTCGCTTCGGATTTCATTATTTTAATATTTTCATGCAAAATTTTTACTTGGTAGTTTTTAAAATTCATATTTTGAAGATGAACTGAAATATGGGTCAAGTGAAATGACAAGAAATGATGGGTGTATTTGATTACAAGTTGCTAGCTTGCTTATTCCATTAAAATATTTTGGCAATAAAATCATTAAACATTTTTTAACAAAATATTCAAAGATTAAAAAAAGTAGTTGGGGTTGATTTTTACATTTAGTCTATATCAGCAAAAAATGTGTGTCGAAAGAGCAAAAAATGCATTTAGTGTATGCTCCCCTCCGTCATGCTTCAATGCAATAGGACGAAATACGTTGAGTTAGGTCGGTTATGTCGAGTAAAGTCATTTTATTGGAAATCTCTAATGAGCGGCCCTTTCCGGGTACGTCTTGGACGCAGTCCAGGCGCTCTGAGTTTTAGACGAAATTCTGTTGTTGTAACGACCAAGTATTCCTCGGGCCGTATTTTCCGGATTCAATGTAGTTTGCGCAAGAGTATAAGACGTGCTGCGAGGTATTGACGTTGCGATGTCTCATGGGAACGGCCGCTTTGTTGTCTATCATTTGTTGAGCCAGTTTGCCTTAGACGAATCACCAGTATTGATCTTGTTATTGAATGTTGCCAAATGCTTGTTCATGCTCATTTTGCAGTAACCGTGGCATCAAATTCTGGATTTGTTTTCCATTATTTTAAGATCGCAAATTGTTTACTTGATGCAGTAGCCCAATTATTGACGTCCAACAAATTAAATTATTCATTTATCCACGGTGAACTCGATTACCCGGACGGAAAAGTAGCATTCAGAATTTTCATCGTGTCCGTTTCGGAATTTGTTTTGAAAAAAAGAATAAACAGATGCTTTTTGGCGTTGAATACATATAATAGATGCACCCCAAAATTATCTAATCAAACGTATAGAAAGCCTTTGCTTCATACAAAATAAGCTAATATTTACCAATGAGAATCCCTTAACAGATTTATCCCATTGTGACGTGCCACGTATGACTAATTAGACCGAGTCTCATGTGAATCGGTAATAAACTATTACAGAAACTTTAAATTGAAAAATATAAAAAAAAAATAAAAATTAACTTTGTATCGTTTCTTTTGTTGACTAGTATATATAACACGTGTAGTTATTCGTCCATCTATGAAATATTGGTTAACGCAAACTTTTGTTATGGTGTTAAGATTTTGTTAAACATTTAGTTGGTTAACGCAAAATGTTGAAATTTATATAACACGATCGATCATAAACTATTACTTTACTTGAATACGAATGTTAAAGGAAATTTTTGTTCTTAACTTTATATGTAAGTAAATTTGAGTATGGTTTTACGTTGAGTTCTCTTTGTCATATAACTGATGAATGCATTGTTGATATTTTTGAAATTTGATATACAGATATATATTTCTTAAATGAATTATGAACATAAACTATAATTGCACATATTTAGATAAGTCTAAAATAACAGATAAGTTCATTTTTCATAATTTAGAAAATTGATATAAAATGTATTTATATGTTAAACTATATTCATGGCGTGCATATCTTAAGCATTCAATTACAGCTGAATAACAGCTAAAATCTTAAAAATAATAAAACAGATTATTTCTGTTTACTTAATAATAATAATAACTTTATTCGTAACCAATACCGCTCATAGAATGTTTACTTTGTAATTAGAATCGATAACATTATGTTTGATGAAAATTGTTGTTGTTGAAAGTTTCTACGTGATATTGGTTAACGCAAAGGTTAGTCATGCATGGGACATTCCCAATACTCATTCACTTATACATCGGGTCAGTAAAGCATTACGTGTTTGTATTTTTTGTAATGTACGTATAAGTTAACATCTATTGATTATGTGTTGGTTAACGCAAAAGGACACACTGTAAGTCACATAATCAGACAGTTTGACTTTAATTTTTCTTTAAAGTTAATGGAAGATATTGAAGCAGTTCTTAACTCTTATATTGTAAGATGAGTTTCAATATATTGTACTTAATTAGTTTATCTTTGTCGGAGATAAAATTCTTTTTGGTATTTTAGACAATTTTATATACAAATACGTATTTCTTTGTAAATTATGCACATGGATGCACGACGATGTTGCATTATGGATAATATTGCAACTTGATTTAGTGCCAAATATGGCAACTGATTCTTCAATTTTCTGGGTTTTTTTTGTATGCATCTTTATTGTTACACAGGGTTTTCTACCAAGAACTATCGCATAAAATAACTAAAATTTGATACATGTATCATCTAATCTTCATTATTCCAACTTCTTGTAAAATACCAAGAAAAGAGCAGAACAATTTTGAAGTCTCTGTGTTCGTTAAGAAGTTGTGATATTTTAGCTCTTTTGGGAACAATAAGATGTGGTATGATTGTCAATGAGACAACTATTCAGCATGACGTGGATTTTAAACCACACCGTATAGTCTGATTTAAGAGGCTTCGACCATGACAACATGTGAAACATAAAAACGGGAAGTATGTATTTATTATCGTATTTCATAGATCAATATACGGTTTTTTTAAAGACACAGTTAAAGGTTCAACTTGTTGGTTAACGCAAGTATTATAATGGTAGTCGCTACTGACTGCCAATTCTGTTTAAAGGAAATGTACATTTCTGCTTACAACTAAGTCTTTTGGTCTCCGGTGGATAGTTGTCTTTTTTGGCAATTATATCACATCTCTTTAAAGTTATAAAAAGAGAAGTACGTGGAATGTATATTATGAAATAAAAGAAAGAATTTCTATAGACATGTTACAGTTATATTTTGATAAATTTGAAATCTTTTTTTTTGTCAATTTTAAGAAAAAATATTTTATTACTACAGTTCTTAAAACTTCAATGTGTATCCACTTTTTGTTCACAAGGAAGATGAAGCTATACAGGAAATATGCCTTTCAATTTACAGCGAAAATGGAAGCTTTATCGTTATATGTGAACTTTCCATTTCTGTGTAGCAACATTCCAGCAGCGCCTGCATACGGAGTATATATCTCCCAATTGATACGATATTCCCGGGCTTGTATTTCCTATCATGATTTCCTTGATAGAGGATTACTGCTCACAAGGAAGTTATTAAACCAAGAGTTCCAAATGGTGAAGTTGAAATCATCCCTTCGTAAATTTTACGGACACCATCACGAGTTGATTGACCGTTATGGAATAACCGTTTCACAGATGCTATCGGATATGTTCCTTATGTCGTTCCCTTTTCACGAATGTGACCTTCCGAATTAGACTATTTACCGGATTTGTAATAACATAAGCAACACGACGGGTGCCACATGTGGAGCCGGATCTGCTTACCCTTCCGGAGCACCTGAGATCACCCCCAGTTTTTGCTGGGGTTCGTGATGCTTAGTCCATAGTTTTCTATGTTGTGTCATCTCTACTATTATTTGTCTGTTTGTCTTTTTATTTTTGGCCATGGCGTTGTCAGTTTGTTTTCGATCTGTGAGTTTGACTGTCCCTCTGGTATCTTTCGTCCCTCTCTTTTCGAACAACCTATTGGGCGTACTCATTTCTTATTCTATATTAACTTTTTTTCTTTTTAATGTGAAGTTAAAGGATAGAAATGAACTTAATTCCTTTTTGTGTCAATTTTAAGAAAAATTATTATATGAATACAGTTCTAAAAAACTTCAACGTGTATCCCCTTCCTGTTCACAAGGAAGTTGAAGCAATACAGGAAATATGCCTTTCAGTTTACAGTGAAAATTGAAACTTTATCGTTATATGCAGATAACTTCGAACAACCCAGTTGTGCATACTCATTTCTTATTCTACAAACTTTTGTTGTTTTTAATGTGAATTTGTTATTTTCAAGTTTAAAGATAGAAATGAACTGGATTCCTTTTCTAGTCTTTGCGATACATGTAGTCCTTGTAAGTATCTCTTTTTGTTATATAACTTTAGACACATTTGACATATCCTTTATCACTTGCATACTTGCAATTTCTGAATTTTGTCCGTTTTTGAGTGACAAGGAAAAAGTAAAATAACAAAAAAAACCGAACTCCAAGGAAATTTCAAAACGGAAAGTCCCTAATCAAATGGCAAAATCAAAAGCTCAAACACATCATACGAATGGAAAACAACTGTCATATTCCTGACTTGGTACAGGGAAATAGACACCGATACGTTTATAGAACAAACTCATCTCAAGTATACCAGGCTTATATATTGTATACACTAGACGCGCGTTTCGTCTACAGTGGCGCTCAAATTGAAACAGTTGAATTAACAATTTACACTCTCTTAATACTTTATAATAATCTTTATTAATAAATAAATAAATAAATAAAACATTTATATAGACTATGTGTTTTTGTGCACATTTATATATACTTTTAAATAACATAGTGCCCGTTGAAGTATTTTAGTTTTTATACTCCAGATTGCTGGCTTCGTTAAGAAATGTCCCAACAGAGAACAATTTGACGTTGTAGCGGAATTGAATTGCCCAGAAAATTTGGATCTTTTCCACTGCTTACCTGTGCTTCCAGACTACAACGATGTAATCTTTATTTGCAAACCTCCAAAATGGTTTGTCAATGGTAAGATTAAAGATCTAACAAAACAGATATCTAGTGTATGCCTTTCTAATTTTAAGCTGAAATATAGACCAAATGTCTTTTATGAACCTGAAATGTATGATACTCTTATGTTTGTTTGTTTTTCTGACAAATCAAATTATGGATCCAGTATTGGTCACCTGACAGATATGGAGTATTGACTAGCACTACTTTAAGAATTCTAAAGTTCTTTGACAGTTTAAAAATTTTGTTAGACTTTTAAAAGAAAATAACGTCTTGCCAGTTTAGATGCTTTAAGATACTAAAGATATGTAGCTACGTAACAATAGCGTACGTTACGTTACACTAGTGTGCCCGAAAGTCCAGAAAACAATTACACAACATTACGATCTAAAATCTTTTGGCCCATATTCACGATAACTTCTACTAAACAACTGTGAAGTTGCCTAATTTACTTTCAATTATATCTAAGTAACGGCAGCGATGTTGGTCGGTCATCTAGTCTTTTTTAACTGTTATAATCGCAATAATGATGAAAACACTTTGCCACGAAAATCTTTCATATATTTCACTATATTGACTGTTTATAGGAACTTTTGCTGTGTGGTCTCCGAAATACGAGAAAATTACATCAGTCCCATGCGAGAACAATAGATACCAAGAACTTCCTTACAAATCAAATGATAGATTTGCTTTTAAATGTTCAATGGGAAAGAACTTTTGTACAGAAAAAGGACAGGCTAAACTATTACATAACCTTAAAACCGAAGATAATCTCTGTTTCTGTTCGGATGGTTACACATTTCTAACAGAACCTAAGAATGGCACATACTGCAACCCGGATGTTGAAAACTGCACTTGCATTTGGGAAGGAATAGGCAAGTAATCGATTGAACTTCACTTTATATGGCTATTGCAATATACTAATTGTTACTATTAAGACAAGGTATTTGTATTGAACTTTTAACTTTGACCACAACCAAATTTCAATTTTTTTACATAATGTATTTAGTTGAAGAGAACTTTCTGCATTATAATCTGTAAAACAACATGTAGGTGAATGCTTCATATATTTTCATCTTAGCATTGGTAATTATTCCCTTATTAATGTGCATACACGTAGTAGTACAGCCTAGTAGAATTGATTTAGTATTTCTGCATTTTTGATGTTAGTGATTAACAGATCTAAAAAAAACGATAGGTTTGTTGATCGTGATGATCTGTGTCGCCGGCGACCATTCATAAGTGTGCACGGCCGCAACGCGATGCAGCTAACAACGGAAGACTGAGCGTCTTTCTGTCCGTGAAACCGTACGTCCAGTTTTGTATGCGCTCTCATGCATACACTCTTTGCCAGATTATTACGAAATTATTACAATTTACAGCAATATCCGGTGTACAGGCATGCGTGGTTACTAATCATGCGGCAAAATTATAAATCTCATTTAGTATCGTCTGATTCTTTAATATTACTATTGTTGAATATGATACGCATGTTATGTTATCTTAGTAGATTACTAGTAACATATTCTAAATAATCATATTTATTTTCAGATCAGGAATCGGAAATTACCACAAATGTGCATTTTCTAAATAGGAAAATAGGAGAACTCTTGGTCAAGTAAGATCATTTAAATAATATATTGCATTTTGTTTTCATCAACCAATGGTGTTCATAATGATAATCATATCTGAAAAAAAGTTATGAATTTGTTTTTATTTTATTTCATTGTATTTATTCATATTTCTTACCAATAAGCTTTCCCTAACCTGTGCTATGGTGTTATTGAATTTCGTGATTTTTAAAATTTATCATTTGCTTATCATAATTTTATATTTCTTTATAAAAATAAGGAGATGTGGTATGATTGCCAATGAGATAACTATCCACTAAAGTTCAAATGAAGTGGATGTTAGCAATTATAGGCATTATGCTTTTCTTAATGCAAGCTTAAATTTAAAGAAATTGTAAATTGCAATGCACTAGAATTTATAAGTATTCACATATTAGTGAACATCACGTTTATAAAAGGATATAAAAAATATATACAGCTTTCATTCGAGTCATCCCGTAATTACCAAGAACTCGGTGATTGTTTCCAAAATCGTATTTGAGGGGCAATTGGAAAGTGCTCATGAGAGATAAAACAATTGCTTATAATGAAAAGAAAAACTATTTTCAAGAGTAAAATGATAAAAACAAGTAACACTAATTAAACTGCCAAATGGCAACAAAACACCCTTTTTGAAAGGTGTTTTGTTGGAAGGGATTGAAGAAAAGGAAAGGTATGAATCAATGAATATTTGTGAACAAAAAAATATGGTTTGAATTGGGACTGTACATAAAAATCCATTTCCCGGTTTTAAAGTCGTGTGTACAAATTCCTTTTCCCTTTTGTCCCACTGTCCATATTTCTGCTCAATGTACTGGTACATATTCGTGTCCACAATAACATATTTTTTATCTTGTTTTTTTATTTGAAAATGTAAAATGAATGAGACAGTATAGACCTTGAATGTTTTAGTATGTACAGTAGGTACCCTATGAATACGAGCATTTGTCGAATCTCTCATGGGCAGCGACTATTATATGTAATAAAGTATGTAAATATAGTGTAAACTCTATCCTTTATCATGGACACCTTCTTTCACAGGAATTGTAACTGAATTTATGTATTCTGTCTTTTCTAGTCAAACAGATAAAGGCAAAGAATTAAGTAAAAAATCAGGTAAATTTAGTTCTGTGTGTTGCTGTCCTCCTTACTGTAACCCAATTCAATGATTTCGTTTGTTAAATAAATGTCTCCCTTTTCAGCCTTTTGTTAGCTCAACATGGATACACAGTTGTAACCAAGCAGTAAACAAACTTTATACAACCATCAGTATTAAAAAAACCTGATGCAATAACTTAATATCATTCTATGATAATTATAAAAATAAAGATGATGATGATAATAACAATAACAATATATCTAATTATACTAGAAAAGATAGGAAAATGTTTGAAAATTAATTCGTATAAAAATTTATAAAAATGAATGGAGACCTGAATAAACATCCATGAGACAGTTATTCAAGAAGACGAGTTAACCCAAATATACATATTCTATGTTCTATTTCGTAATCAATCTACAGTCCATTTTCAAACATTTCAATTTAGACGATAAAATTAAACAACATTCCCAACAAAAAATAGAATTAGTGACAACTGCTGTGATGCTTGACGTTGATATTAAATTGTCATGCTTATTCGATCCGTAGTTTTGATGCGTCATTTTCTGAGGGATGGTGATCTGGCCTTTCAACTTTTGATTCGAAAAGTTAAAATAACAAAAATACCGAACTCCAAGGAAAATTCAAAACGAAAAGTCCCTTAACAAATGGCAAAATCAAATGCTCAAACACCTCAAACGAATGGAAAATAACTGTCATATTCCTGATTTGGTTCAGACATTTCCTTATGTAGAAAATGGAAGATTTAACCTGGTTTTATAGCTAGCTAAACCTCTCATTGTATGAAAGAAAGTCGCGTAAAATTCCATTATATTCACAACAATGTGTGAGCAAAACACAGACATAAAAGGGGAACATGTCAAAAATTGGGGTACAACAGTCAACATTGTGTTATTATCTTAATATCTATAAACTAGAGGCTCTAAAGAGCCTGTGTCGCTCACCTTGGTCTATGTGCATATTAAACAAAGGACACAGATGGATTCATGACAAAATTGTGTTTTGGTGATGGTGATGTGTTTGTAGATCTTACTTTACTGAACATTTTTGCTCCTTACTATTATCTCTATCTATAATGAACTTGGCCCGGTAGTTACAGTGGAAAAAATTTTGTAAAAATTTACAAAAATTTACAAAATTTATGAAAATTGTAAAAGATTGACTATAAAAGGCAATAGCTCCTTAAGGGGTCAATTGACAATTTTGGTCATGTTGACTTATTTGTAGATCTAACTTTGCTGTACATTATTGCTGTTTACAGTTTATCTCTATCTATAATAATATTCAAGATAATAACCAAAAGCTGCAAAATTTTCTTAAAATTACCAATTCAGGAGCAGCAACCCAACAACGTGTTGCCTGATTGGTCTGGAAATTTCAGGGCAGATAGATCTCGACCTAATGAACAATTTTATTCACATCAGATTTGCTCTAAATGCTTTGGTTTCAGAGATATGAGCCAAAAACTGCATTTTACCCTATGTACTATTTTTTAGCCATGTCGGCCATCTTGGTTCGCGGGCGGGGTCATCGGACACATTTTTTAAACTAAATACCCTAATGATGATTGTGGAGGCTTCTTACAATCAAAATATTACATATGAAGACAACAGTAAAAGAAGGCGAGACACTGGGTCCCGCGGAACCCTTACAAACAAATTTTTTTGTTTCATAAATTTAGCTAAAAAAACAGATCATAGTTATCTAAAAAATTAAGAGAATGTAGAGAATTGATATTTTGAATTTGAATTTGATGGTGATATTTTATCTAGGAGAATAAAACATTAATACTTATGAATTTGTGCTGTTTTATACAAAATGAACATGATATATCAAATTTACATTTTTTTTGCGGAGTTTCCCTTTAACTTTTTAGACTTTTATTGCTGTATTTTTTTATTTTATTGTGCTATCATGATACTATATTAAAATTCATTGTTATACAACAAATGAATAAAATGGCATTGATAATTTCTCTTATTCGGTAAATGGACTGGGTTTTTTTTTGCGCTAAATGTCCTATCTATGCACTAAAATATTATCCGCCGTTGGTAGTGATACACTTTTGGTGAATGAATTGAATAGGAATACACATCTTATCATTATTCAGTGTAAAAGAAGTAAATGTCATCACTCGGTATTGTTTTAACACATATAAATCCGTGCCGGAATATGTACTGAATGTATTACCAAGGAAAATTCATACCGGCACATCTAATAATTGAATTTTACAATAATAATGATTTTAAAATTCAAAATTATGTCACTTATAATTTTAAGTATTATTTTTTACAGAATTTCTGTCAATACTTTTGGTTAACTTATCCTTTTTCTGTAGGATATTTTCTAGGCAGTACTGTACTGTTCAACTAAGAAACAAAGCCTTGAGTTAAAGGGCTTTTTTACTTTGAATAAACTTATTGTGACCACTTTTTAGAATATAAAATATAAATGATCAGTACTATTTATTATTTTTATTTCAGAAAAATAATTTAAATTGTATAAAATTATGATTTATTGCATTAAACATTGTTAGAAGTATTATAAAAAAAATTCTACTAGGAGTAATCCCATATCCCATTACAAAAATAACAAAGTAAATTTCATCAGCCAGAGCTAATTTATATCAATTCAGCTAGGTAGGTTTCTAGGTGACATTTCTTAATTTTTACCAAGTTTTTGTCCTTTAAATTTTACCTCTAATCCTTTCCTGAAAAGTAGGGAAGTATCTCTTCTTAATATCATAATAACATAGTTGTAAATCGAATTTCGTTAATTTCTTCTTGAGTTTTGTAAAGTAAACTCCTTTTTATTCATTTTGCTGGATTTTTATTTTTTACTGGTGAGATAGGGGAGATAACCACTAGCACAAATCGACAAGAAAAAAAACCACCGCTTCGGGTTGAAAATAACTTGACGTTTGCGTATCCAAAAATCTATTGCCTAGATATTCATATCGAGTGTTTGTCTTAATGAGATGCTTTATTAAATTTAAATTCAGCCCATCATTTTAGTTTCTTCGAAAATATTTAGATTTTTCCATCAGGAGACTTCACAATTTTCACACAAACTTCAAGTTTGAAGATAAAATGAAGAATATAGGCCTTTGAGTTGATGTGTAAGTTTTGACGAGTTAAAACTATGTATATTCTAAATTATGTTGATCAATAAGTTTTTATCATGACAGTGGTATTTTAGTGACTAAATTGAGGTTTCTCTCATCCGTAGTTTTACTGCATTTTCACGGTCACGTGACTCTATTATGCTGATAGACTTGGGGTCAAACCGTGACCTGCTTTCCAACTGAGTATACAAATACTTTATGTTACGAAGTTTCCCTCTGTCATATACCCATTGTCCTTGACGTCATTTTCATGGTTCAGAGACTTTTTGAAAAAATTTGTTTTTAATTTTTATAGGACTACAAAACTTTTGTGGTCGTGTAATGGTATGCCATAGTCGTCGTCCGAAGCCAGACATTTGGTTTCCAGACAATATTTGAGTATAAGTATATGTATCTCTATGAAATTGTACCACAAGGTTCCATACCACAAAAGGGTTGAGATTGGTTTTGGGAGTTATTGCCCTAACTGTTTAGGAATTATGGGCCAAAAAAATGATTTTTCTTGTTTAAGGACAATAAAAAAAGAGGCAAAGGATACCAAAGGGACACTCAAACTCATAAGTCGAAAATAAACTGACAACGCCATGGCTGAAAAAGAAAAGACAAACAACAGTACACAAAACATAACATAGAAAACCAAAGACTGAGCAACACGAACCCCATCAAAAACTGGGGGTGATCTCATGTGCTCCGGAAGGGTACGCAGATCCCGCTCCACATGTGGCACCCGTCGTGTTGCTCATGCTAGTACAAACCCGGTGATA